ATATATATATATATATATATAATATATATATATATACTATTTATATATATATATGTATGTATGTATCTATATTTATATATGTATATATATATATGTATACATATATATATATGTGTGTTTGTGTGTGTGTGTGTGCGTGTGTATGTGTGTGTGTGTTTGCGTCCGTGTATTTGTGTGTGGACGTGTATGTGTGTGTTAATATGCGCTCTTATACTTGGATGTCAACATACACACATGCTGCATACATACTTGCCATACTGCATCGTCCTAGCCTGCTCCTCTTCCTGCCGATCTCGCTCTCTCGTCCTTTCGACTTTGCTTTTCATATCTCTACTACCTCCATAACTATGTCTGTTTTCTTGTTCCTTGATATTGTTTGCACTATCCACTTCTCTATCTCTGTCGTTGCTGTCGTTTCTTGATCCACTGGTATTTTTATTTCTGACAACATCTCTCTCTTTGCCCTGGTTTTCTCTATCGCGACCCCTTTCCCTATCCCGATCAGTATACCCGGTACGTCTATTATCATTTGTTCTATCTCGTCTACTGTCATGACCCCTTCTTTCGGAACTCTTGTCTTTGTTAGCTTCGTCATGATACTTGTCTGTATCTCTATCCCTCGAGCTTTTCCCCGAGTCTCTATCATACCTGGCATCTTTCCCATCATCTTTATCGCGCGTGTGTGAGTGTTTATTCCTTATATCGCCTCTATACCTTTCTGTATCCCGGCTTCTCTCATGTTCCCTATGACTTCGATCCCTGCTTTTGTCTCTATCATTTTCTCTATATTTATCTCTATCTCTACCACTATCTCTATCCCGTCGGGAACTCCGACTACGAGATGTACGCCGATCCGTCATACCTGTGCTTTCTCTCGTATAGACCAGTTAGATGCGCAAGTGCTCTGGTATTTATCTTGATGTGTCTGAAATGAAGTTAAGTTGCAGTCTTGGGCCCAAGTAGAGGCCCTTGTAAAATACATAGCAAGAGTGTACCCTCTCTAAATAATATGTACACATATGTTCATTGTACAAGATCAACAACGTATTTACTCTTTCATATAGTTCACTTTACCGGTTACAGTTCCAGACCTTTTTTTTGGTGTGGTAGTACAAATTATTTGCACCCGGATATGGACTATTTAGGGCCAAGTGTAGTTTCTATATTTGGCCAAGAGTGCTAGTGTTTATAAATATCACACAAGAAGAGAGAGAGTATTTAGTTCCAAATGGAGTGCTGCTCCAGCCTTTAGAGGAATCCAGGCCTCCCCAGTGACAGTCCTCCAGAGTCCAGTGACCACACTCCAGCTACCGATACGTTTAAAAGTAGAACGTTCTACGTAAATGAAATATTTTACATATGGAATTATCCGTTGCTAGAATTGCATAGCCTCCTAAAATAGAACCAAAAAACGCTTTGAAAAAATATTTGTACGAATTACTGTTCCCGATGTTCGGTCAGGCGACTCGGCCTTCTGGCTGTGGGCCGGTGCAGTGTGGCGCTTGGTCTGTACTGAACACTGAACACTGAACGCTGTATGTGTCGTACTTTGAGAACACATTTCAATACACGGAGATAAATAGATGTATGTACTGCTTCGTATTACAGACCTATTTATAAATACCCCAAGTCCATTGTCCCCATTCCCAGATAGCTTTTTTTTATACACCCACAGTTTTATTAAAAATAGTCGTCGGTGTCCCTTTCCCGAAATATTCAACCACTCACCACCCTCATTGTATTTGAATACATACCATTTGTTTTCAGTAACGCGACAAGAACATTTTCTGTTTATCCACGCAATATCGTTCCACTTAGAAAATGGCGTTTCACTACGGTAGCTTCGGTAAGGGTGCTGGCCCCAGTGCTCTGGACGCGGTATGCAAGCCTTACGAGTTTACATGTCGAAAATTCAGTGATGCCTAAAAGTGAACATCAAGTGCACAATATATGTTTGAAAACCTCTAACTGTATTGAGAAATTGTGTGTTAAGTCCGCACATGTGTGCATATTGACATGAAAACGCAGAGTATTTAGTGTCGCTCATCTCAACGTCCACTGGCGTTTCTCGGCAAACGCCTCTCGATCAGCTATGTAGTAAGCGTCAGTTTTCGTGCAGCTGATACCTATTCGTGAATTATTAGAGAATGTGGAAGAATTCGTAATACACTTTTGAGCGACCACAAACGAACACAAACTACCATTCCTATATATATATATATATGTGTGTGTGTGTGTATGTATATATATATGTGTGTGTTGTTTTTATTTATTTATGTAGTTTGAGTGCGTCTATGTGCGTCTGTGTGGGTTTATATATTTGTATATATATATATATATGTGCATTCGTTTCTGTGTATTCTTTCCTTGTGTATGTGTGTGTACGTTTTATATATATATATTATGCACATATTTTCGTTTTGTATCCGTTTTTATATTTATTTGTCTTGTGAATACTGAAATATGATATACATGCCATGAAAGTATCTATGCGAATGTTAGTCAGATCTTGATTATTCTCTTTTATTCATCTACTTTGCAGTGTATGGGAATAGAGAAGAAGGTGCCGCATATCATCTTCCCTGGTGGCGAAACATCGACTGATAAGCCTGCAACTCCCCGAGCTCCTGTGCGTGGTGCCAGTGCACCTGCTAAGAATAGTAAGTGGAAGCTGTGCGAGTGGTCAAGCCTTTAATGATGGCATGAAACATTACCCGGAATGTGTGTATTAGACATGTTTAATTGTATCTACAAGCAGGCCGCTGGCTTCCGTGCTGCGTGTTTCTTGTGTGAATGTAGCGCGTATATATCTATCACATGTAGACTAGCATGTATGTAATGGTGTACAGATCATAAAAATACATATAGATCAGATATACATGTATATCTACAATCATTGTGTACAGATCATAAAAATACATATAGATCAGATATACATGTATATCTACAATCATTGTGTACAGATCATAAAAATACATATAGATCAGATATACATGTATATCTACAATCATTGTGTACATTTTTTTATACATTTGTATACGTACACATACACATACATTTACATGTATAGCGACAGACAGGTATATATATATATTTATATGTATACATATATATATATATATATATATATGTATACGCTGTTCGTTGCATACCGTAGAGCCTCGAATCATTTTATCGCAAGCTGTTCTACTATTCGTTTCGTCCACTTGGTATGCTATCGGTTACCTACAGTATGACTCCGTCATAAGACCATGACACTTTAGCTTAGAGTTCACAACCATAGCAAGTTGTTGATCGCTCTCATTGTAGTCATACTATTAGACCCTCGTGTCCAGTCGGTTGTAGATCACGATTATAATACTAATCCGCGGAGATTTACAAGTGCAGTACCGTGTTCCCGGATATCAAAAGACTTCCCCGTCTGACTTACAGCGTGTGCTATCGTACATCCCTAACATACGGAGCTGGTTTCAAATTAGCCATGTATTAGTACTTCACATATATATATAATATATGTCTGTGTACTTTACGTATAGCGCGTTCAGGCCTCATTCAGGACGCTCGCTGTATCGTTTGAGTGCTTCCCTTATAAAGCTGCAAATAGAGAGGGGTCTGCTATGATTTCGGAAATCCGTGTTCCTGTCGGTGCCAACTAACTTATAATGCTTCTTGGCTTATCATACTAATGATCTATGTAGGTGGCTTCTTTGCCTTCCTCGTGAACCGACCAAATCGAATGCCTGAAATGCAGCAACTCTTTCTGAAGGATATGGGAGCGAAGGCTGTCCACCGCATGGGACCCCGCGACAGACAGGTGAGTTGCGAGTGTATTTTATTCGTGTTTATGGAGCCGCTAGGTCATATGCATGTACGGTGTAATATCTATTCATATACATTCTTTTTTCAAGGACATGTATTTAGTTACCAATGAAAGTATAGCGTGGACGTCCCTCTGGACTTTGTTGCATCTATTTCCGTCCGTTTGTCACGTTTACGCAGATATCGACTCCCTTGAGAAAAAAATCGGTTGGGAAACATTGGCCTAAAAAAATCCCCCATGCAGAATGTTATAATCGCCAATATTAATTGAGTTTTGCGTGTTGTGTTTGCTTATCGAGGCTCCTGTTGCTGAGCGAATGTAGACATTATACGTATATGAGTTTTATGTTAGAGTGGCTCGTGTTACGTGACGTATAAAGTTGGGTCCAGATTGTTCGAATAGCCGGGTGGGCAGGGTGTCGGAGGCTGTATATTAAAAGTTACAAACATGCATGTATAAATTTATTATATATATATAATATATATACGTGTGTGTTTGTGCGTGCATTTGTGCGTACGTATATATATATATAAATGAGTCTATATTCGAGCACTTGTGCTTGCTTTTAGGCTTAAACTTGTACCTACACTTTTATGCATATACGAATATATACTATTTATATTTTTATATATATCCCTGCATATGTATACGGATATCAGTGAGTGTACGTATATGTGTGTATGTATATATATTTATGTGGGTGTAAGTGTTATGTATAGAATAATAGTCATGTACATTACATCCATTCCATACGTATATATGTACATTTACGTAGATGTATATATGTGGGTGTGTATTCTGAACACGTGTGTTTGACCATGTATGTATGTGTGTGTGTATTTATGTATAATGTTGATATACATTCCTTTGCTGAAACCGGTGAAGGACGATCTACCAATTACGAACATGACTAGCGAAAGTTTCTATATTTATATAGTCAGATGACCTCGATTAATCGGCTCATTCCATTTTTCTTCTTGCTGTCACGCACAACGCCAGATCAACTTGCTGTGTGGATTCTTGTCCGTCGTGGGAACGGTGGCTGTTGTATATCAGATGGGTAGTATGTCTCTTGGCATCAACAAGAAGGGTAAATAAATTATGTGTACACACGTATGCATACATCCATACACAATTTCAAACTAAAATGTATACATTGACTCGTATATAGTCTTTTATTTTGGCTCTGATATAGTATTTAGCGTCCGTTCCCTATACTATCGGCTGCTGTCTGAATCAGCAGGTGAGGATCGCAATTTTTACCAAAAGTGTTTTCCTGGGAACAGAATGATCAGCTGTACACTTTTCAATCATAAAGTGTACGTACACACATGTATTACGGATCTACACATAGATACGAGAATGGTCAAGACTGAGACTACGAAGTGTGACTTTTGGTTTTGCGACGGGCCAACAGTATGTATCACTGTAATATTGGGCCATGCTGCGCTTAAACAATTTGTGCGCTTCCTGTGTGTGACCTTCCTAGACTGAATACCGTTGGTCAACGGACTGTGGCATGAGGCCATGCTCTGCGCATAAACAATTTGTGCGCTTCTTGTGCATACCTATACTTATGTCTGATGCGTAAGTCGACATGTAATACCTGCGACCAAAAAGTATGATGCTTGCGCGTGCGACTGCTAACGCTTACGCGTGCGCCAGTTAAGTGTGAGGCTAAACCTTGCCTCCAATTCACAGGACTCACAAAGTTGGTTTATAATTTTACTGTTCGAAACCTATACAACTATACTGTTCGAAACTATGGATTCGGGAACGCTCTTGAGTAGCCAGCCGGTCATCTACTATTTTAAACGGTTTGCCGATGATATGTCGTCTGACAGTCACATGAGGTACGAGGGGAAAAGAAGTGATTATATCAATCTTTGACGAAAACTGCAGCATCGAGCTTAGCGGTTCTTCACATATCTGCCTTCATAAAATCATACTTGAATTGCAATTTTGTTGGACTGATTAACATAGTATTGTATCCAATCGTTCATTTAACACATCTGTTGTATGCTGATTGCTGACACTCAGTTACTACACGTTCACGTCTAACTACTGCTACAAGTTGTACCACATAGAATGTATATTTGACGAGAGCAGAGGTTCTACGCAATGGACTTGGCGAACCAAGCTTCCAAAGATATTGTGCTTGCATTTTCTTTATTATGCTATTGCTACATCGTAGAAGCACAAAAATATTTGTGCTCTCATTATCAGGTACCCACTCAGCAGCGAGAGCGGAGAACCCACGAAATTGTTCGTGTATCCAGCCAGGACTAAATCTAGAGACGAAATGACGCCTGGGTTGGTGCTAAGTTTCTTTGCATTTGAATGTATTCTACAGCCGAAGAATGTTTCCCTAGTAGTGTAGCTAACGAGCCAGCTTATTATATACCTCTCTGGATTTTGAGGACTGCTATACACCACGTTTAATATACAAATTTCTGGCGCCGATGTTAGCTGGAGATGAACTTGTCTTCTTGTTTCAACGAATATCGTGTAATGCTAGATTGTACATAAGAATTTGTATTTATGCCAGGATACATTGCTAAGCTTATAAACAAAGGAGATCGGTTGGAAGTCAGAACAGTTGGCCATATTCCTAATTCAGAATACGGTGTTAAGAGACAACAGGTCTCAGGCCAGATTTTACAGCAAGAAACCCTCTTTGAATTATTGAAGTCATCAGAGTTAGCTCACTCCGGAGAGCTAATCAAGTTGCTTAACAAGTTGCTTAAATTACTCCCGAGAGGTTGTCCGTGTATAGTTCCACCTTATCCAACGCAGCCTACACTCCTACAGTCCAATGCAATCAAAACACTACTAGAGAACATAAAAATCTAAAGAGAGAAGCGAAAATTAAATTTGGCTGATCAGACTTACGTCCAAAGGACAGAAGCCTTTATTTATTCCGAGTATTCTTGTAGTCCAATATTTCATCAGCGCGCCTTTTGACGGGCCTTGTTGTATACAACAAGTTTTGTCAGGCCTATATAACTCGATAGTAGGGTAGTATTAACCTCCGTTGCCCGTATATAGTTTCAGCTTATCCAACGCAGCCTACACTCCTACAGTCCAATGCAATCAAAACATTATTAGAGAACATAACCCTCTAAAGAGAGAAGTGAAAATTATATTTGGCTGATCGGACTTACGTTCAAAGGACAGAAGCCTATATATTCCGAGTATTCTTGTAGTCCGATAATTCATCACATTTTCAAATTGTATGCTACAGCAACGGTATAGGGATATTTAAAGTCATTGGTGGCTAGGTTCACATTTTGATACGACCGAGGAAGCGACGTGAGAGTACTACAACTTAAGGGTTTGAGAAAAACAACAAAATGATTTTTTTAATTGCTAAAGACCTCGATCCATCCTCAAAGTACTTATCTCGCCCCTACGCGTCACGTATCAGTTAGACTTTAAGCATTTTAGTGTTTATACAACATATAATGCAAAGCAAATTGGTGTATCTATATATATATATATA